GCGAGTGGTGGTGCTCGTCGGCTGTCACCAGTGACACGTGTGCGCCGGTCCCCGCTGTCCCCGCGTTCCGCCGTCCTCATCCTCGTCGTGGTCAGCTGCTATTGGAGCAGCCTCGGACGCCACTGCGGGCCCCGGGTTCTGTCGGCTTCAGTAGGCATGCACTCTCCCCCGGGGCGCATGATGACAGGCAAGTGTTCCCGGTCGCCCGGCGAGGCTCAGGTGACCCGCACGCAGGCAGGAGGCGCATCCGCCTGGCGGGAGCGCGAAAGGCGGCCGGAAAAGTCAGGAGGACGCCTTCAGGCATGGCTGTGCCCAGGGGCAGGAGGACTGTGTCTGCGCTTGGCTTTTGCTCTATCCGTTTTCTTCTGTGCTGGCTTCCCTCGTGGAGGCAAGATGGTCACCCAGACCAGACTATCGACCTCAACAGAAAGGAGATCCTCTTTCCCCAATAATTTCAGCACAGAGTCCCGGAATTGAGTCTCATCGGGCTGACTTGGGTGATGGCATCATCTTGAGCCAATCTGTCTTGAGACCAGCCTGTCCTCACCTTCCAGGTCAGAGAGGGGATCGTCTGGCCCATTGAACTACATGGCCCTGGAGGGGCGTGGGCCTCCCGGGAAAACGGCAACGCTGTCCTCGCCAGGAGGAGGCTTGGATGCGGGGCATCGCAACGCCCTCATCCTGTGTTTTCCAGCGTAAGCTGGGAGGCTTGATGCCCACACCTCACTAAACAGCAAGAATAATGACGATGATGATCATGAAACACAGAGCCCTTGCATCGCCCTTCCGATGTCTGCATTCCAAAGTGACATGTCGGGAGCAGGGCTGCGTTTCCTGTTTGGTTTGTTTTCCTGCTGGCAACTCTCCAGACGGCCAACACTCAAAGCAGGCAGGGAGGGGGTGAGAGGAGCTCAGAGTGTGTATGACCGAATGACTTGTCCCAGAGACAAAGTCCCTGGGCTTTTATTTTTATTTTTTAAAATGTATTTATTTACTTATTTATTTTGAGTTGGAATCTCACTCTGTCACCCAGGCTCGACATGCTGGGCTCAGGTGATCCTTCTGCCTCAGCCTTCCAAGTAGCTGGAATCATAGGCATGTGCCACCATTCCCAGCTAATTTTTTTTCCTTTTTCTTTTTTTATTTATTGTAGAAACGAGATCTCGCCAAGTTGCCCAGGCTGGTCTTGAACCTTGGGCTCTGGGCTCAGGCAGTCCTCTCTTCTCAGCCTCCCAAAGTGCTGGGTTAACAGGTGTGAACCTTGTGCCTAGCCACACCTGGGTTGTTGTTTTTTTTTTACTAGAAGGAGTTTCCTCACTGTAAAGCCTTGACAGGATTTTCCTTCAGTGTTTTGGTGGGCTGGGGGTGTCAGGGAGAGCATCATAGGCCATGTGATTGATAGCTCTATGTCTTGGAAAGTTCTCACCAGGTTGGAATGCACCCATCTTTCCTGATGGTCCAAGCACAGGTTTGGCTGGAGTGTGCCTGAAGCCAGTTGGCTTGGGAGTGCAGATTCCACAACAGCCAGCACTCAGGGACCCAGGCCTTAGCACACGCCTGCTTCCGATGCCACCCCCAACCTTTTCTGGGCTCAGAGGAGTGACTCCCTGCACCCCTGGGCTTAACGGATAAGAGTCAGCTTGGAGAAGTCTAGCCCAGCCCTTTGGCCTGGCACCCCTGCTCCAATTTATACAAACCTTGGAGCTTTCTAAGCCTCCCTATTCCTCTTTTCCAGGAAGAGAACATTTCAATCCTTTGGGAAGGAAGTGTGTCTTGCAGATCATTCGGTAAGAAATGCAAACCCTCGGCTACCCTCAGCTACTTTGCTCCTGCCCTGGTTTACCCCTGTAGGTGAGAGCAGAATGCAGGTTCAGAAGCTGCATTTCAGGCCAGGTGTGGTAGCTCACACCTGTAATCCCAGTACCGTGGGAGGCTGAGGCAGGAGGATCATTTGAGGCCAGGAGTTCAAGACCAGCCTGGACAACATAATGAGACCCTGTCTCTACAAAAATTTAAAAACTAGCTAGGTGTGGTGGCACATGCCTATAGGCCCAGTTACTCGGGAGGCTGAGGAAGGAGAATTGTTTGAACCCAATAGTTGGAGGCTGCGGTGAGCCGTGATTATGCTACTGCAGGCCAGCTTGGGTGACGGAGTGAGACCCCAACTCAAAAAAAAAAAAAAAATATATATATATATATATATACACCCCATGGGAAGATACACGAAAGTGTGGTTGCAGCAGCCATGACTGAGCCCCCAGGCTCTCCATGAAGGGTCAGCCTCTGCGCCCTCAGCCCTGGGTCCTCATGATGCCACCTGAGTTAGGAGTGCTGGGATAAGCAGCAGCCATGTTATCCACCTGCTCTGGGCCTCAGCTTCTCCAGCTGCCCTGGAGGTGATGGTGGCCCCTCTCCTTTCTGCCGACGAGTGTTGGGAGGGTCCCTGGCATGGACCTGAAAGCCTTGCAGACCATGCTGAGCTCCATGCAGAATGACACAGGTGACCACGAGGGCAGTGCTCACCTTCCCACAGGCCCCTGGAGCTGGTTGTATGCCACCATTTTTGGGAGGAGTCTGTCAGACTTGTTTTCAGTCTCATGTCAGTGAGTGGTGAACAATCCCAGTGTACCCGGCCTGTGGGCTCCCAAGGACCCTCCTTAGATGACCTTGGAGTGCCTCGGGGCGAGCCACAGATGCCTACCTCTTTCTGAGCTGTAGCAGGAGTTGGGCCCCATCCCTGACTCGAACACTGCCCCTCTGAGTTCTGATCTGCTGTGCTGGCAAGCTCCTGGGTTCCATGCAAACACAGCCTCACACATAATCCCATCTTTTCTGGATTTGCCAGATGCACCCTGGCCCCCGCACCGTTCTCCGAGAGCCCATCTGCTGTGAGTGCCAGGTCACATTTGGGGGCCGCCTGCCCGTGCCCAGGGCTGAGGCGACACTGCCTTACTGGGTCCCTCTTTCTCTGAGACCCCCAAAGCAGGTAGGTGAGTTCAACCAGGGGTTTTCACCTAGGACCCAGGGTCAAGGTCAGGGGATCAATCATCCCTCAGGATTATAAGTATTATGTGAATGGTACTTAAAAATTTCAGGAGATAGTGTGTGGATTAAAAACAAAATTCCTAGTCTGGGTGCAGTGACTCAGGCCTGTTATCCCAGCTATTTGGGAGGCTGAGGCAGAAGGATAGCTTGAGCCCAGGAGGTGGAGTCTCTGGTGGGCCATGTCACTACACTTCAGCCTGGGCAACAGAGTGAGACCCCGACTCAAAAAGAAAAAAATCCTAGATTCATAGAGATAGGATTGGCATGTGGGTGATGGCCCCTTGCACAGTTGTAAAGTGTATGGTGTGTCTTGGTGTGTGTACCCCCCAAAGCTACCAGCACGATGGAAGACATGGTCAAACAGAAGCCTGGAGATTCCCTGGGGCCCTTTGTGATCTGCCTCATCATCTGTACCCTGACCTCCCAGGCAACTGGGCTCCTCCTGATACCGTAGACTGTTTGCCTTTCCTGGGATCTTCTGAATGTGGAATTGTATAGTTTGCGGTCCTTCTGTCTGGCTTTTTCCACTTAGATGCTTGTTTTGGAATCCAGCCACATGGCCTCACATGTCCATAGTTCCTTCTTTCTCTTGGGGAGTGGGGTTTCATTACATGAATAGACCACAGTTTTCCTGTTCACTCCAAAGGACATCTGGATTGACTCTGCTTTGTATACAAATAAAGCTGCTGTGAACCTTTTTGTACGTCTTTTTGTGGACATACACCCTCATTCTTGTTGGGTAGACACCAAGGAATGGACAATCAGTGTTTTCCACAGTGGTTGCACCATTTGACATTCCCACTGGCGGTATCTGAGGTTCCAGTTCCTTCACATCTTCGCCAGCACTTGACATCTTTTTATTTTTTAATTTTTCATTTTTTTAGATGGAGGTTTCACTCTGTCACCCAGGCTGGAGTGCAGTGGCATGATCATGGTTCACTGCAGCCTCAACCAGCTCTGCAGCAATCCTCTTACCTCAGCCTCCCAAGTAGCTAGGACTACAGGTGTGCACCACTACACCCATCTGGTTTTTTTTTTTTTCACTTTTTATAGAGACGAGGTTTTGTTGTGTTGCCCAGGTTGGTCTCAAATTCCTGGGTTCAGACATTGCCCCTACCTCAGCCTGTAAAAGTGCTGAGATTACAGGCGTGAGACACCACACCCAGTGGGCTTGTCTTTTTACTCTCATCAGTATTTTTCAAGAGAGAAGTCTTAAATGTTGAAATCTGGTTTGTGCTTCTGGCCTTCTCTGGATCTACTGAGGTATGCCTGGCCCAACACAGTCTACTTATATAAGCTTTAGGGGTTGGATCCAGGAAGTCTTTGCCTAACCCAAGGTCAGGAAAGGTTTTCCCCCATGTTTTCTCCTGGAAGCTCCATGGTTTTATGTTGATGTTGATGATTCATTTCCAGTTAACTTTTGTATACAGCACCCTGGCACCTGCTTCATCAGAGAGGAGCACTGGGCTGCAAGTGACAGAAACTGGAGGGCGGTGGCATCAGCCAGGGCCCCTGTTAGGGACAGATCCTTCTGGCGATGGCAAAGCACTCCAATGAGGCCTTCAGGGCCCCAGATCACTTTCCTCTGTGTTTGGTGCTGGCTGCATGCCCTGTGCTCTTTCGGGGTGGTCACCAGGGACCTCTTTCTTACCCAGTGATGTGCAGGGGCAGCAGGTGGGCCTCTCTGAGGCCTTTCTCAGGGCTGGGGAGGCGTCCCATTCCCATCCTCTTTCTCACCAGGATGGAGGCCTTTCTTGAAGGCCCAGGCCGGCTTCTTATTCGTGTCTTTCATCATCACCCAGATCTGTTCCTGGCAAGCCCAGAACTGGCCTATACTGATCCCTCAGGAAAAGGCAAACTGAGTTCTGACAAGGGGTGGGGGGTGGGAAGTGACTTCTGTGTGGGCGACCCTTGGGTCCTGCCCCTCCACGGGGTTGGGTCTAGGGTCCACATCCTTGTGAACCTCAAGCAGGCCTGTGCTGTTCTTCTGTCTTCCACAGCTGGCCGGTCCCCTCCCATCTGCTTGGCCTGGACGGTTCCCCATCCCCTCCGCACCCCACACCCTGGGGTGTATTCTCTTGCTGGGCAGCGCACTGGGTGGTGCCGGGTGGGGCTGGGTGGCTCTGGGTGGTATTGGTCAGCACTGGGTGGTGCACTCCTGTGAGAATGACAGGGCCAGTGTAGGGGCCACCATGGAGAGCAGGCTTGGTGAGCTGGGTGAAAGTGTCTGGCATGTCCTTACCCTGCTAGGGCACAAGTGTCCCAGGCAAGAGCCATGTGGTGCCGTGGTGGGGACATGTAGAGCTGGAGGGACAGCCCACTTTCCCAGTCCTGTTAGAGTGCCTCCTCAGTGCACAGTGTCTGTGCTCTGCAAGACTGCACACACATGCTTTGAGTCTGACCCTTCCAGCAGCCTTGGGGAAGGTGGCAGGGACGGCTCAAAAGTTATTTTTATTATGTTATATCCTGTGACCTGAGCACACTGATAGAAATCTGAGCAGCACAAAGTGGTACATGGCGGCATCATTCTGCCTCCCCCATATCATCTGCTGCCACCCCTCCTCCCATCAAAGTCTTTCTCATGTGTCCTGGAGATGCTCTGCATGCATCGTTTCACTAGTGATGTGTCATAAATCACCCCAGATGTGGAGGCTGGAGACTGCAGTCATCCGTCACACTGCCCAACGTCTGTGGTTGGTGGGCTCAGTCTGGCTGGGCTCAGCAGGGTGGCTCTGCTGCTCTGCTTGGACCTCTCAGATCTGGGGCTAGCCTGGGCAAGTTCTTCTCACGGCCATGGCAGGGAGATGGGAGACAGCTGGAGCCTCAAGGCCCCTGTGGAGTGAGAAGATAAGAAACATACTTTTGGTCCCTGCCCCTAGTTCCCAGCACAGAGCTTCTAAAGTCCTTGTAGACGGGCCGCTGGGAGAATCTCTTGTGCTGATAGTTGATCTTTGACCCCAGTTCCTGACCCAGAGCTCCTACGACTTTTGAATTTCCTGCATGATAGCAGCATTTTTCATTTTAATGAGGCAACTATCCTGAATCATCTCAAGGTGGGGGCTGGTTGCTAGGGGACCAACCGTGGGATTAGAGGATGGTAGTTCTCAGCCCCATCCCCAGCCTCTGGGGTGGGCAGAGGGGCTGACCGCCGAGCTGAGCACCAGGGACCAATGGTGTAATCGGTCATGCCTATGTCACAAAGCCTCCACAAAAACCCAGAAGGACTGGGTTCAAAGAGCTTCTGGGAAACTGAACCCTGGAAGCTTCTGGAGGGTAGTGTCTGGGGAGGGCATGGAATCTCCGTGACCCACCTGAGTATATTCTGCTGCTCACTGTATTCTTTGTAACAGCCCTTACAATAAATGGGTAGACATAGAGAAAGCATTTCCCTGAGTTCTGTGAGCCTCTCTAGCAAATTAATGGAACCCAAGGAGGAGATTGTGGGAACCCCGAGTCACAACCAGTGGGTCAGAAGTACAGGTCATAGTCTGGGACCTACAGCTGGCATCTAAAGTGGAGGCTGTCAGATGGGACTGAGCTCTCAGCCCCGTGGAGTCTGACACTGCTGCCAGGTAGGCATCAAATTGAGGAGCCCGACTGGGGTCTGGGGTGCGTTGTGTGGCGTATGGGAAAGCACCCACACCTCTGGCATCAGAAGTGCTGTGTGGAGCGACTGTGTAAGGAGAAGGAGGGAGAGCTTGTCTTTCCTGCATTTCCAAGAGTGGGTGTCCATGGAGTGGGATTTGCTGGAACAGCCCAGGCTCAGGGAAATGTGTGGTTTGGGAAGTAGAAGGACGGAAGGGTGGGCGTGAGGCGCCTTGGCTCTGAGTGGCCACGGAGCCACATGTGGCGTGGAGCTGCTGTCATGCTGCCCCCAGCCGATAAAGGTGAGAGCTACCAGGAGCGTCAAGGCTGGATCCAGCACCTGGCAGTTGGTTCACAGCTCTCTGTAGTAGCTAAAATGAAATTTTAAAAAGTGCTGAGTCCCATCTTGATGTTAGACCAAGCTCAGGTTTCAGTGAGCTGCACTTGGGCCACCAGCCTCAGAGCCACCCACAAGGGAGGAATCATATGGGGATTTAAGAAGACACCTCTTAGATCTCTGGGAACCAGGAAGGTGGCCAGTGGGGGGAGGGACAAAGCCAAGAGAGGTGGTGGTGTGAAGGGATGTTTCATCTCCTAGGCTGACATCATCCGCCTCCACCAAAGTGGAGTGTGGGTAATTCCCTTGGGAACAGTGTCTCTGGTTTCCCCCTGTATCGAATAGCCCCTTACCCCTGGCGCGGAGCTGCCTGCTGTCACCTCTTCCTCTTCCTGTCAGTCAAACCTGGGCCTGGTCTCATCTGCCGTTGAGGGCTGGGCTGCCCTGTCCCTCTCTAGTGGATCTGCAGAGCTGTGGGGCCAAAGGTGGGCTGTGGGGAAGGTTGGGGAGATGGGCCAGGGGCGAGATCCATCACAATTCACGGACAGGCAACAGGGCATGGGCACTCACTTTGTTTTTATTTTTTTTCGCCGGGGGTCTCACTCTTGCCTAGGCTAGAGTGCAGTGGCACAATCATGGCTCACAGCAACCTCGACTTCCTGGGCTCAGGTGAGCCTTTTGCCTCAGCCACCTGAGTATCCAGACTACAGGAGTGCATTCCATGTGGGTGTAGACAGCCCTGCTCAGGCCTCCCGAGGGCCGCCCCTGCAGCCTGGTATCTGTTATTTATTGTCCCTTATGGGTGGGCATTCAGTCTGCCTGGTCACAACTGACAATGGTGCAGTAAATATTGCTGTGCATAGGACACGCTGGAATGTGACAGTGACCTCACAGATGCCTTCCTGGGAGTAGAACTGCAGGAGCAAGGGCTGTGTCTGCTTTAGAACCTGAACGACTTTGTGAAAATACCAACAGAGCCCTCTTCCTAGAGGCAACTCTGAGTCACAGGACTGCTCAGCTCGTGACAGGGCCAGGCCTCCCAAACCCACGTGCTCTGCCAGGCCCACAGGGGTGTGCCATGCATGGGACGGACGGTGGGTGATGAGGGCACCCGGCCTTGAGGGTCTGGTATCTCCCACCTCTGGGAATGCTGTGATGGCCTTCAGCCTGGGTTGGGTGTGCTTGTGGCAGGCGGTGGGGCGGGGAGGGGTGTTAGCTCTCCAGGGCCCACCCATGCTAAGATTGAGCCACAGGCAGTCCAGGTTGTAGCTCCACTGGGGGAGCTGGGGGTATGGCCCCATCAGGGAGTCATGGGAGGGGGCTGGTTCCATGGGGGCAGTTGGGGATGGGGGCCCATCAGGGAATCATGGGGATGGCTGGTTTCATGGAGGGCAGTCGGAGTCAGGGTCCATCAAGGAATAATGGGAGGGGGCTGACTCCTGAGGGGCAGAGGTGGGGTCTCCTCAGGGAGTCGTGGGGGTGGCTGTTTCCATGAGGGTTGGTCGGGGTCAGGGTCCCATCAGGGAGTCATGGGAGGGGCTGGTTCCATGGGGGGCAGTTGGGGGTGTGGCCCCATCAGGGGAGTCATGGGTGTAGCTGGGTTTCATGGGGGGCAGTCGGGGACGAGGTCCCATGAGGAAATTGTGTGTGGTGCTGGTTCCATGGGGGACAGCTGGGGGTGGGGTCCTATCAGGGAGTCATGGGGGGGACTAGTTCCATGGGGCCTGTTGGGGGAGAGGCCCCATCCAGGGGTCATGGGGATCTGGTTCCACGGGGTACTGTTAAGGACAGGGTCCCATCAGGGAGTTGTGGGGGTACTGGTTCCATGTGGGTTCCATGGGAGGTGGTGGGGGATGGGGTTTCATCAGGGAGTCGTGTGGAGGGCAGCTTCCACAGGGGGTAGCTCCATCAGGGAGTTGTGGGAGGGGGACTGGGTTCCATGGGGGGTTGACTGGGGGCAGGGCCCCGTCCCTTTCTGACGCTTCTCTTCCCTTCCGCACTGTTAGATCCCCAAAATTGTCCAGTTTCAGATCCCCCAAACCATCAAGAAGTGCCCGTGTCCGTGCCACCGCTTTGGGGGCCAACTTCCGATGCCTCGGGACCAGGCAGTGATGCCCTACTGGGTGCCCAGGGTCCTGAGGTTTCAGAAGCAGGTAAGCACTGAGCTGTGAAGGGTGACTCATGGACAGGAGGATGGAGGGGCATGGGGTATCCGGGCTCTGTCCCCACCAAGGTTTCTGCTGTATTCAGAGAGGCCCTGACAGCTGTGGGCTCAGACGTGCAGTGGGAACTATCAGGAGGGCCACTCAGGTCCCTGTGGGCGTGGGCGAGGGCAGGGTCATGCTGTTGTATACAGAGGGGCGTGTTCCTGCACCCACTGCCACTGCCATCCATACTTCCTCTCTCCTGCCCCTCTGTCCTCTTCCTCCCTAGTTCCTCCTTCCCATCCCTTCTCCCTTCCCTGGCCCTGCCCTGCCCCATCTCTTCTCACTCCTGTCCCGTACCCTGGGTGGCAGCCCCTGGCCCTGGCAGGCATGGAGGGAGGTGGGTGGAGTGGGTACCAGAAAGGACTGCTGCCAGACTTCTGTCCTCTCTGACCCTGACTGGCTGCCTCCACAGCCTGGTCCCAGGGCGGTGGCCCTTCTTTTACACCCATCGGCCCCTCTCCTGTGCTTTTCCTGTGTCCCGGGTGGTGGTCAGAGGCTTCCCTCCTTCCTTCACCTGGTTTTCCATCACTGAGTCTCAGACTGTCCCCAGGGAAGATTCAGCAGTCCTCATAACTAAGAGACGGCAGCTTTGCCCCTTTCGGCTGGTCACCCAGCTGAAGACTTACCCCCACACTGTCTTTTAGGTGGTGAAGAGGCAGCCGAGTTTGAAAGGTAGCCAAGGTAACTCACTCATCCCCTCCCCGGAGAGGGGGGGCTTATGCATGTCAGGGTGGGTGGTCTCTCATCCCCAGGGAACTGCAAAGCAAAGAAGGCCACAGCTGTGGCAGGAGACATGCCTGCAGCCTCCCCGCCCCTGCTGTGGCCAGGTGTCACTAGTCACTCACCATCTCTTCCCCAAGAACCCAGAGAAGCCTCAGTTCTCCGGGCAGATCCCACCAATCTAGCAGATGAAACTGCTTCCTGGGTTAGATAGCATCTAAGATGGGGTTTTTAAGCCTGAATCTTCTTTGGTTCATGGCATAATCCTATTGTATGTGTGTGTGTATGTGTTTACGTATGTATTCATATAATATATACATATGTACACACACACACACACACACACACACACACACACACACATATATATATATACATGTATTTATAAAGTATGTACATATATGAGGGGGAACCCAAACCCGAAATTATCTTTTGGAAGGTAGATCCCTTATAGTACAGGCTCCCCCTGCTAGATGAGTGTTCTAGGGACCCATTGATATCTGTGTACCAGCTAGTGAGAGGCTGTGTTCAGCTTCAGCGAATCTTTTTTGGGGGATTCTTTCAACTTGTTTGCCAATTTTATGATGGGTGATTTGTGAGCACACCTGCCCACATTGTGCTGAGTGTTCAGCAGTTTTTGTCCAAAAATGCCATGACCCCCATGTCCCACCCTCCCTATTCACTAATCTCACCTCGAGAAGCTTTTAATTTTTGTTTCCCTGTTGAAAAAGTCCTCAAAGAGAGATGTTTTGCTGATGTGGAAGAGGTGAAACAAAAAACAGCAGAGGCACTAAAAGGCATAAAAGTCAACAAGTTCAAAAATCTGTTTTGTGTAATGAAAAAAGTGTCTCAATAGGTGTATTGCATCCAGTGGAGAGTGCTTTGAAGGTGACTGAGTTTTAAACATGTAAGAATAAATACAAAATTTTTTATAACTAAATTCCAGGGTTTTTGGGGTTCCCCTGGTATATTCCTCCATATGTTCTATTATATATGTCCACATTCATATATTCATGTCATGCTATGTATTCAAATCATAATATGTATTATTAATATACTTTTCATTACATGGTGTATTTATACATTCATATATTTGCAACCTAGTATATATATATTCACATACTCATGATAGACATAGTATATACTCACATTCATGCATTAATAATACAGTATATGTTCATATGAAAGATCTTTAAAAGTTCATGGAAAATGTGCATTATGGAAAAACTGTGTATGGATTTCAAAAAATTATTTTTTGCACAAAATAAACTCATACTAACTTGTAGTATGTCTGAACAGGATCTAGTTTGAGGCACTAAGAAGAATAAGACATAGATTTGAAAAAAGCCCCTATAAGAATTTTGAATTCTGCTAAGATTGAAGAAAGAACATACTTCAAATTTATGCTGAAGCTTGGGTGGAAGAATGGCAAAATCACTAATGCTTTGTGAAAAGTTTGTGGGAACAATATCTGAAATAAATCAGCAGTTTACAAATGAATAACTTATTTTAGGAAGGGATGAGGCCATGTGGCAGATGAAACTCACAGTGGCAGACCACCCACATTATTTTTTGAGGAAAAAACTTACCTTGTTTGTGCCCAATGATTAACAGCAGAAACAGCAGCCAACACCACAGAAAGCTCATTAGTTCAGCTTACACAATTATGACTGAAAGATTAAAGTGAAGAAGACTTCCCACTTGATGGGTGCCAAAATGTTGCACCCAGATAAGCTTCAGACAAGAGCAGAGCTTGCCATGGGAATTTTATTTGATTTATTTTTATGTTATTTTTTTTTTAGGAAGAATCAGATAGGAGCAATTAGGATGTTGCAAGTCCTGATTATGCAGAGACGTTAATCACATTTCATGAGAACTCCTATCATTATGCTCTAATCTGTCCTCCAAAAAGAGGAACAAGTAAGGATTATCCCACCTGGTGAGCAACAGAAATTTTAAACAAGTGAGGTCAAGATTCTGAAGCATTTCTTTGTAGAAGAAATCATAGCAGGAACTGAAACATGGTTTCACTAGTACCATCCTGAAGATAAGGCACAACCAAAGCAGTGGCTACTGAGAGCTGTAGGTAGACTAGTCATAGCAAAAGCAGGTGTGCCAACAGTAAGGACCATAGCAGCTATTTTGTGGATGCTTAAGGCATTTTTATCGACTTTCTGAAGGGCCAATGAACAATCATGGTTTCTTATTATGAGAGTATTTGAGGAAAGCTAACCAAAGCTTTAGCAGAAAAACATCCTTGAAACCTTCACCAAAGAGTCCTGCCACACCACAACAAGGCCCCTATTCATTCCTCTCGTCAAACAATGTTAATTTTGCAAGAGTTTTCATGGGGAATTACTAGATGTTCACCATACAGTCCTGATTTGGCTTCTTCTGACTTCTCTTTTGGTTCCTAATCTTAAACAGTTTTTAAAGTGCACCTATTTTTCTTCAGTTAATAACATAAACGAAGACTGCATGGACATGGTTACATTTCCAGCACCCTCAGTTCTTCATGGATGCACTAAATGGCCAGGGGCATTGTCTAAAAAAGTGTCTTGACCTTGATGGAGCTTATGAAGAGGAATACAGTTTGTATTTTTTACTTGTATCTTTTTTTTAAAAGTTGAATTCTCATTCTTTTGCCCAAGCTAGAGTGTAGTGGCATGGATCACACTCACCACAGCCTCAACCTCCTGGGCTCAGACAATCCTTCCATCTCAGCCTCCTGAGTAGCTGGGACTATAGGCATGTGCCATCATGGCAAGCTAATTTTCTGATTTTTTTTTTGTAGAACCAAGCTCTTACTATGTTGCCCAGGCTGGTCTCCTGGACTCAGTCACCTAAGGTGTTGGGATTTCAGGTGTGAGCTATTGTACCTTGCCTTATTTATTTATTTATTTTTGAGTTGGAGTCTCACTCTGTCACCCAGACTGGAGTGCAGTGACTGCTCCCAGTTACTGCAGCCTCGACCTGCTGGACTCCGGCAGTCCTTCCGCCTCAGCCTTCCAAGTAGCTGGAATTACAGGCATGTGCTACCACGCCCGGCTGATTCTTTGATTTATTGTAGAGATGAGGTCTCGCCGCCCAGGCGGGTCTCTAACCCGCGGGCTCAGACAATCCACTCACCTCAGCCTCCCAAAGGCGTGGGATTACAGGCTGAGCCACTGAGCCCGGCTCCTTATTTTTATCTTTTAAATTTTTTGAAGCCTGGCCATATATTCACAATAAAGTATATTCATATACTTGCATGTTTGTGATCTAGCACATAGTACCTGGGAGATTGGCATATCCACTCAACTGTCATGTTCTTGGTCTCTAGAGAAGTGGGTTGGACTTGATCTTGATGATGCATTCTGCTGTGAGGGCTAATGTGTCTGTGTTTTCTGGGCCGGTGTCCTGCTCTCCCCATGACACTGATTGTCCCAAGGTACACGTTGACAGTGTCAATGAATGAGTGGGTCTATGAATGAGGTATATCCCTGGGAAAGGTGGACTTAGTGGAACTCCCCAAGGCAGGGGTGGGGAGTGCTTGGGCAATGAATAATTATCAACTGACTGCCCGTCTTCTAACGGTTCTTGGAACCATGTAATCACACATTTGTGGTGTTATTTTTATTTTTATTTTTATTTTTTTTGTTGAGTTGGAGTCTCACTCAGTCACCCAGACTGGAGTGCAGTGGCCGCTCCTGGCCACTGCAGCCTCGCCTGCTGGCCTCCGGTGATCCTTCCGCCTCAGCCTTCCCAGTAGCCCGAATTACAGGCACGCGCTACCACGCCCGGCTGATTTTTTGATTTATTGTAGAGATGAGGTCTCGCTGCCCAGGCGGGTCTCGAACCCGCGGGCTCAGGCAATCCACTCACCTCAGCCTCCCAAAGGCGCGGGATTACAGGCTGAGCCACCGAGCCCAGCTGTGGTGTTATTTTTATTGATTATTTTTGGCTTTGAATATTTTGCTATTTTGCTTTTTTTTTTTTTTTTGTGAGTTAGAGTTTCACTCTGTCACCCAGGCCAGAGTGTAGTGGTATGTACACAACCACTGCAGCCTCTACCTGCTAGACTCAGGCAATCAATTCTGCCTCAGCCTTCCAACTAACTGGAATTACAGGTGCATGCCACCACACCTGGATAAATTTTTGATTTGTTGTAGAGATGAGGTCCTGCCAAGTTGCCCAGGCTGGTCCCAAACCCCTGGGCTCAGGCAATCCTCTTGCCTTTGCCTCCCGAAGTGCTAGGAGTACAGGCATGAACCACTGTGCCTGGTTTGAATATTTTGCATCTTTAAGAGAAGTTGGCTGGGCATAGTGGCTCAGGAGGCCGAGGTGGGAGAGGCTAGGAGTTCACAACCAGCATGGGCAACATGGTGAGACCCTATTTCTACAAAAAGAAAAGAAAAGGGAAGAAAACTAGTCAGGTGTAGTGGTGCAAGCCTGTAGTCCTAGATACCTGGGAGACTGAGGTGGGAGGATTGCTTAAGCCCAGGAGTTTGAGGCTGAAGTGAGCTACAATTGTATCATTGCACTCCAGCCTGGGCTACAGAATGAGACTCCAGCTCAAAAAAAAAAAAAAGATAGGATCTCACTCTCACCCAGGCTGGAGTGCAGTGGCACTCTCACAGCCACTGCAACCCTGACCTGCTGGGCTCAGGTGATCCTTCTTCCTCAGCCTTCCAAGTAGCTAAGAACCACAGGCACGTGCCACAATGTCTGGCCAACTTTTTTTTTTTTTTGAGTTGGAGTCTCACTCTCACCCAGACTGGA